AATTTCTTTTTAACGCTTTAAAAACCTCAAAATGCTACGACTTAATAACTGTCATAAAACCAGTAAAGGATTTTTACCATCTTATTGGAATTTTAAATTTCGTAATCACTTTAATGTAAAGATAAAAAAGATACTAGTGCTTCTTATATTTTAATGGTACAATTTTAAAAAAAGACTTTCTGATAATGTATAAATTTTAAATCTAAACGATAACAAACATCTGATAATATTCATTTAACATTTAAAAACAATTCGACAGTGTCGTAAAATTTTATTTCTAAGTGCTCTTAGATAATTTAACCCGACTGTTTGAAGGGTAATGTTCTCGAAGAATTATTCAATTCAGTAGCATTAACGATCGATTCTGATAAGAAATCAATCGATTGATAACCGTACTTGCTTTTGCCCGAGACTCTGTTCGTGTGGAATTAAAAAAAAACATAAGTATCCTCCACATCTATGCCAAATTTCATCTAGATCCCTTCAGCAGCTTAGACTACAAACTCTAACAAACATTCATACATCTAAACTTTCGCATTAATAATGTTAGTAAATAGAAGTTTTTTACCATTTCTGTCAGTCCGTAAGTCTGTAAAATCTCCGACACTATTGAACGGATTTTAGCGGTACTTACTGTAAGGTAGTGGAAAGGAATTATTTTTCTTACATATGTGAATTTGATATCGAAATATAACACAATGGAAACGTATCTCAAACGTAACAATAACCATAACGCACGTTAAAGCAGGCTTGAGGGCCGCACGCATGAATCATATTGCCTCTAAACGGATTACGACCCACGGAATCTTATTATACCACCCTTTTCCACCCTGACGCCCAGTGACGTAAGTGAAATATTTGGGCCCTGTTAATCTATATTGTGGATACAATTTCAAAGCTTTTATTATAACAATGTTTTACATAAATATAGAAGTTTTTTTTGGAATAGGTTCTGACCGCAGTAGAGATTCAATCTCACGGACTTTTGTCGGATTTATGCGGGGAAAAATATTTTATCATTACCTAGTGATTCATTGGTGTTAAGTTGACTTACGTTTAGTTAAAGCTCAAGTTACGTAGTTCAGAAACACATTTCATGAAGTTATCGAACCGAAAGAACTAACGAATGTTTAAAAGTAACTAGGAAGGCGGCCATTATTGATATAATAATATATCTCTATTTAATGTCATCGTCATCATCATCATCATCCACTTGCCTTATCCCTTATGGAGGGTCGGCACAGTATGTGCTGCTCTTCCATACATCTCTATCAGCCGTCATATCTGAATCCACTCCTTTCTTAAGCATATCCTCTTTCACACAATCCATCAATACTGTCTTCGGTCGTCCTCTATCTTTGTAGCCATATCTGTATTTAATGCAATCGACACATTATGTTCTCATATGTTCTTTTGCTTAAGTATTTTAAGAGCGTTTATAATGAACCTCGTTTATACATCCAGTCGTGGATTAAATAATAAAATAGTAACATAAAAAATACAAAATCCGTAACATTTTTTTGCCGGATATAGTAGTCATGCTCTAATGTCTTTTAAATATTCAATACGATATCTAAAACAATTATCACGAAATTAATTATACGATTTTCATACATTATTAATCAACGACGACTATATTTCAAGTTTCAATTTTATTTGGCACGGAATAATTATACAAATGATCGTGATCGATCCGTTCGTCTATTATTTTTTATTGATTTAATGAACTTACTTGCTTCTGTCTATTTTAACAGGAAAACAACAAATCTTATCTTACTAATAATATAAATGCGAAAATTTAGATGGATGGATGTTTGTTAGAGTTTGTATCCAAAACCGCTGAACGGATCTCTATGAAATTTGCCATAGACGTAGAGGATATTCTGGAAGAACATATAGACTACTCCCTTTTGTCTTTTTTTAAATCCACGCTTACGGAGTAGCGGTCGAAAGCTAGTAATTTGATAAATTTAAGGAAACAAAATAAAAAATTATAAAAAAAGTTTACTAACCTTATTATGTCAGACAGTAGAATAAGTAATGCTATTCGATTACTGAATAAACATTAACTAAAATAATCTGAGAAAAATACAAAAGCAATGAAAAGAAGCATTGTCTACCTAATAAAATAAATAACAAATGGCATCACTTACTAAACAGTGGGGGAACAAAGGTCACAGGCTTTCTTTAACAACAGACAAATTACGTAGACGACCGCAATTCCCGCGCAATTTGCGGTCACGTGAAGCAGTCATTACTAAGCATGAGCCAATCAGAGCGCGCCTTTTAATACGATTCCATTTTTGAAAAAAAAACAAACTGTCACGGAATTCATGTATGCAATTGCATCATGTCAAAGATTAAGGGCCTATACCACCAAATTGTAAATTGTCTGATAATAAACCAACGTCTAAAATATTTGATGGAAATAACGGATTTTGTTCCCTTATCTGATGACGTCATTTTTAAGCTATCTGAGCCTCTATCAGCCAGTGGTGGGACAGGCAATAAATGAGCAAGGATATGCAATATTTTGTAAACAAAAAATAAGTAGATAGTAAAGATATAATATAACATTTTGAGTAAGTAATTATCATATCGATTACCTAAAACGTTGTATTTGTTAAGATTTACTCTATGTCTAAATGTTGCTGTGTCAATTTTAAATTTTAGCCTCTTTTTTTTTATTCGAGTCATCATCATAGCTTAGCTTTTTCTCATACCATTTAAAAACTCAGAATTGTAAATATTGTTAATTTGTTTAGATTCTTAAATGATTTGAGATAGACTTTATCGTGAGAATTGATATTATTTTACGATGAAGTTGCAGTGACCTGCAGTGCTTCCCAATTAGTATTCACAAACGAAACGCAAAACACGAATATAAACACACTAATTATATCCAATATTATTTAAAAAGTAAGTAAAAGACATACATTTATCATTACAACTTTATTAAATTACTAGCGGTTACTCGCGACTTCGCTCGCGTGTAATTAAACAATAATAAAAAACATAACCTATGTTACTCACTAATAACGTAGCTTTTTAATGGTGAAAGATTTTACGAAATCGTCTCGATAGTTTTTGAGTTATTTCAATACATACAAAAATACATATCTTTTCTCTTTATATTATTAGTACAGATAAATAAAATTGTGCCAATACTGCACTATAAAGTGTAACCGTTTTTATATATTTGACACGAATTTACTACATTTCAACCACAGTAATCGGCTTTTATGCTACATGTATCCTTTTAAAAGATAAATAAGTAAATGTATTAATAAATGTACCAACAAATGGCTTCAAATATATATAAAATAATCGTATAATACCCATCCAATCGACATTGAAGTCATCCCAGTTACCATGATCTCATCTCATGGATCATTAAACGCAAATCGATCTACGCTGTACCATTGACGACGTGGGCCAATCGAGACCCGTCATTAAATGATACAATTTTGTCGAACTATATTGTTACATGGCCGCCATTTGCAACGATTTATAAACGTAATTGCTTACACAATGTTATTGTAATTTTGAATTCATTTAAAAGGTTTGATACTCCTGATTTAGATAGCAGATAGACAGTGAACCAGGGGTAAGAAACTTTTTAAAAAACAGTCAGTAAATTGATAAACTGTAGTGTTTTTACACGATTATTAAATGTAGATAAACGGCAAAGTCTACTTGACTACGTATTTCCCTTTTACAACGCCCTTTTATAGTCTACTAGCTTTCGCCCGTAACTCCGTCCGCGTGGAATTGAAAAAAAAGTGAGTACCCTATGTGTTCTTCCAGAATATCCTCTACATCAATACCAAATTTCATAGAAATCCATTCAGCCGTTTAGGCAAAAAACTAAAACAAACATGCATCCATCTAAACTTTCGCATTTATAATATACTAGCTGTTGCCCGCGACTCCGTCCGCGTGGATTTAAAAAAAAAAACAAAAGTGGTATCCTATGTGTTCTTCCAGAATATCCTCTACATCTATACCAAATTTTGTAGAAATCCGTTCAGCCGTTTAGGCTACAAACTCTAACAAACATCCATCCATCCATCCATCTAAACTTTCGCATTTATAATATTAGTATGATGTATGATCTTGCTTGATTAGAAGCTCGAACAGCCCAACGGGAAACACCCATTGTATTTATATAGTCAGAATATTATTCCAAAGTTATTAAAGGTAAAAATACGTTATATTACAGTGGTAATCTTTAATAGTATTGCTTTGTGTTATGAAAAATGTTTTGTATTAATGAGATTTTTATTTATTCATAACATTTTGTGTTCGAGTATATATTTAAGATGATTACATAGTGATTTTAATTAGGAAGATAAGACGTTAATATACGTATAGAATTCAACCATTCAGGTAATTGTTTTTGATGTTATTATTTGATAAAACAATGCCTGTGATTGGCTTAATGACTTTGCCAGTTTTTGGAGTTCTTTTCATCCAATCAAATGCATTCGAATTGTAAGTAAGATAGTGAGTTTCTACTGTTGAAGAATACCTATAAAATTATGTTTACATATCTTCATGTCATAGATTATGTCCGAAAAATTACCGCATCTATGAACAATAGTATATAAAAGCGTACAACAAATCAATGTGTAGTACATTGCTTTATTTTTACACATTGTCTTATATTGAAACTAGCTGTAACCCGCGTCTTCGTTCACGCAATATTAAAATGAAAAGTAGTATATAATATGCCCGTCTATGTCAGCTACCCTTCAGTGAAAGTCCGGTCGAAATTGGTCCAGCTGTTTCGGAGATTACCCGGAGCAAACGCGGCTTGCGGACAGATAGACAGACAAAACATTTTTTAATGGGATTTTTGTCATCAGCAACGCAAATACGTCATCGTCCCGAAATCTGGAATTTATATTTTGATGTTACAAACAGACACTCCAATTTTGTTATATGTATAAATATAGATATTACAGGATCTTTTAAATATAGTATGTTATCTTTTCCAGCATCGTTCCCGATTACGAGGCGGATCGGTCATCCATACCAGAACAGAACACCCCCTAAGCGGAAGAAACCGAGGACATCTTTCACGCGGCTACAGATAGCTGAGTTGGAGAAAAGGTTCCACAAACAGAAATATCTGGCGTCAGCTGAACGCGCCTCGTTAGCTAAAACATTGAAAATGACAGATGCTCAAGTTAAGACTTGGTTTCAGAACCGAAGGACGAAATGGAGGTTAGTTAATAATTTGATAACTCTTTATAGAAACTGTTTAAGAAAAAATTTCGACTTTGCTAATTTTAGATCACACCTTTGATTAGTTGGACAACTAAAAATCGAGTAGTGTGCGCATCCATACAAGATTACACGTAAATAGTTGTGCGATAGTTTGGTCAAAGTTGTGCCCGCTCTTACTCTCCCAGGATTGATATAATTGTTAGACAGTTTACAGTAAAGGGGCGAGAAATTTTTTCTTTTATACTCTACTAAGTATAAAGGTATATTTATCTAGACAATTTCTGGTGTCCACGAATACTTAAAAAGAACATTTATCAAAGTCTGTTTTAAATTCATAAGAAGCAATATGTCATGTATTTCTAATCTGTTTAAAAGTATCAATTTAGATTGTGATTTATAATCTATTAGCTTTCGCCCGCGGATCCGACCGCGTGGATTTAAAAAACACAAAAGTGAGTAGCTTATGTGTTCTTCCAGACTATGCCCTACATCTATGCCAAATTTCATCCAGATCCCTTCAGCAGTTTAGACTACAAACTCTAACAAACATTTATCCATCCATCTAAACTATCGCATTTACAACATTAGTGAGATAGTAAGATTTTTATGCAAAATATGTTTTAAAACTTCCACGTGTGCAAATTCATTTCTATAATTCCTCACATATACTTAACGTCAAATATAATTCATACATTACGCTTTTAAGCTAATTTTGAAATAAAATCAATTTTATACGAGTACTAAATTTTAAAGATGTTGTTTAGTAATTCCGGAGTTCCAAGCTAGTATATATTTTCTGCAATAACTACGTCAACGATATTAAAAGGTGAACCACTTCAATAAACGAGAACTATCCTTTTATTGACAGTTGTAACTTAAAATAAATGTTATATTTATTAATTCGGTATAATTTAAAATGAGAATTTAAAACAAAAGAGCCTATAAATTTGAAAACAATAAATATTTATTACCACTAAATGTGACAAATCTATACGGTGTATTCTATTCTTTTTTTTTCAAGTCTTAAATGAAATCAGCTCACCGTTTCCAGTAAAATGACCTCCGTTTATAAATTATTAATTCGTGTAGACAGATCAATATACATACGTTGGTTATTATATTTTATAGTGGTAGTGCCCGCTTTAACATCTTTGCACGAATGGGCCGGCTCGCCCGGTGTAATACCACGACCACAAAGAAAACAGGCGTTATGTGGAAAAAATTCCGCGTTCCGTCTGATGAGTGTGGTGCCGAAGACCTAATTTTAGTCCCTTTCCCTTTCTACCCTTTTACTTAGAGGAAAGGATGGGAAGGAAAAGTGGATTTGACGGCGGACGAAACGCATAGGAAGGGAAAATGTCCTCTTTATGCGTCTCCTCCTCCGTCAATGTAAGGTAGGCAACGCATCTGCAATTGCGCAGCGGTCGCTTTCCATTTCGGTGTATTCAGGTGGCCGCTTGCTCGTTTGCCACCTTTTATTATATATAAAAAAAACCGTCGACTCAAAAACATGTAAATAAGTGAAAGTACTTACAAGTTGTAGTTAATTTATTTCTAGAAATAGCTATTTATGTTAATTTTAACTTTATCAAAGATAAAAGCTTGTTAACATAGTTACAACCGCTATTTCAACCGAATTGAACTTTACCCAGCTCTATGGGCCTGTCCCACCACTGGCTGATAGAGGGCCTAATTAAAAATGACGTCAATGTCAGATAAGGTAACAAAATCCGATATTTCTATCACATGTTTTACACGTTAGTTTGGTATCAGACAATTTACAATTTGGTGGGACAGGCCCTAAATCTTTTAATTTGACCTTTGTATTCGATTTTATAGTTGTGATACTAATTTTTCATTAATATACGCATAATTATGTTAATTTGACGGTTACATATACCCTATCGATAATGTTATATTAATCTTTTTAACGCATAATATGTCATGTTTAGATTCCGGAACGAACTACCGTTCACTAATAAATTAGAGTTGATTTTCCTGTAATTATACACGTGCTTGATTTTGTTGATAAATGATAACTGATTTGTCACCTTGTAATATAAAAATATTAATATTTATTTAGCTATCGACCTCCTTTTAAGTAGGCCTATCTTATAAAAGACTAATGCCCGCTACACACGCCCAGTTTTATCTGAACAGTACGCTCGTTCAGATAAATATATGAAAACTGAGAACTGTTTAGTTTTGAAGAACAGAGCGTGTGTAGGGGGCTTTACATTCAATTGAATTAGAAAAATCATTAATACGCTAAGAAATGTACAAAAACTGATTTTCATTTGTTTCAATATTATGCTTGAATCTTAAGATGTAGAGAGCGCGTACACTTTGCCTAAACTATCGCACAATTGTTGTGCGATTATCGATTGTTTTGTAGGCAATTCAACTGTTCAATCGCACAAATAAATCGAGTAGTGCGCGCACTTCCATATAAGCTCATAGGAATCAAAGTGAGACTAAACAGTTGTGCGATAGTTTAGTTTCAGGTCTGCACACTCATACGTCAAATTAAATCACTTTGGTTTAGTGTAAAACATTCTCAGGTCTGTATTAAAAACTTCGATACACGCAATCGTAAAATCAAGTGCATACTTTTCCAATCTCTCATATCAATTAGTTTCAAATTAAACCTCGGTTAATTTCGAATTGTGAATTCATAATCAAAACAATAGATTAACAAAGGAAATAAACATAAAACGTGAGCACATACTAAAAAGGGTGGTATAGATCCAGTTTGGGTGTTGCGAGACAATAAGGCTATGCTATGGGATAACGATTACTTCTAATGGACAAGTGGTGTTTGTGTTCGGAGCAGATAAAGAGAGGCTCGATACGCGGCGCCACCGGCTTTTTATTATAACAAAAGACGATGAAAAAATATCGACTGCCGGTAAAATGGCGCACTACTACAACATTTTAAAACTATTGTCTCTGACATCATCCGTATTTAAAAAAAAAAATCTTTTGTTACGGAGTTATTCAAATCTACATATATATATAAATCTATCTATACAAATACAATTAGAGTGTCTGTTTGCAATATCAAAAGAAAAATTCCAGATTTCGGAAAGAAATAACGAAAATCGCATTAATTTTTTTTTTGTCTGTCTTTCTATCTATCGGTTTGTCTGCATGTCTGCAACAAACGCGGCTTTGTTCCGGGTAATCTCCGCAACGACTGGGCCGATTTCGACAAGACTTTTACTGGGGGGTAGCTGACATAGACGGGCATATTATAGGCTACTTTTTTTTAAATCCGCGCTGTCAAAATGGCGTAATGGGTGGTCCAAATTTGCGCTAAAGAAGTTTGCACGCGTTAAATAATAAATCTATTAAACAAGAACTGCTATTTTCCGAGATCAATTATATTTTAATATTCTGGAGACTATTCTATTCTTATGCCAAGTTTTATTTAAATTATTTTGCTCAGTCTGGAGTTATAACAACTAACTAAACTTTCGTGCTACAACTGTCAAGCTAATCTTTCTGGAAATTACAAATAAATCTTATTAAAAGACTAGCTGTTGCTCGCGTCTTCGCCTCTGTGAAATAAAAAAAACTGAAAAACATAGCCTTTGTTACTCAGTGAAAACGTAGCTTTTTATTAATAAAAGCATTTTTTAAATCGGCCCAGTAGTTTTTGTGTTATTTTAATACGTACAAAAATCCAAATCTTTCCTCTGTATATTATTAGTATAGACGACAAATTTAAAAAAAAAGAGGTCTTCAATATTAGTTCCAGTCAATTTATCAGACGTCTGTTTGTATTAAACAGCTTGTGTTAATGGAGGCTTATCTTGGAGTTTGGGCTTGTTTTGTTGTATTAAAAGTAAAGCCCTAACGAGGGCCGACTGCCTGATAGGGTTTCTGTTTGATTAATTCACGAGTAAATGTTGCTGACGGCGGTAAACAACGAACAGTTACCTCTTTACACTTTCACTGTGTTTAAGATTTTTTTATATACTTTTTTTTTTTAAATGATGGGGACATAAACCAGAAAGTGTTAAGATTGAATGTGGATGGCTACAAAGGAAGAGGAAAACCGAAGAAAGTATGGATGGATTGTGTGAAAGAAGATATGCTTAAGAAAGGAGTGGATTCAGATATGACGGCTGATAGAGATGTATGGAAGAGCAGCACATACTGTGCCCACCCTCCGTAAGGGATAAGGGTAAGTGGATGATGATGACTTTTTTTAAAGGATGTTAAGTTATTAAGTTTTCCTTAAAACAATAATTGTTGGTTTTATAAACTGCAGGATGTTATAAAAGACCTGAATATAATTTTATAAAATTGTATATACAGCTTTAGTTGACGACTTTCAACGTTACATCATACTTCATACTAATATGTATGGATGGATGGATGTTAGAGTTTGTAGCCTAAACGGCTGAACGGATTTCGATTAAATATAGTATAGATGTAGAGGGTAGTCCGAAAGAACACTTAGGCTACTCACTTTTGTTTTTTTTTTATTCCAGGCAGACGGAGTCGCTAGCGAAAGCTAGTATTAAATACTTTTATTAGTAAATATCAAATGTATGTAATTTAGAGAAGTTAACTTTTGCGATGTTTGTTTTTTCTCTTCCTCGTAAGAAATGGTCAATAATTCAATCATCGTTTATGAATTTATTTAAACGGTATATTTCTATGTTTTAATTTAGAAATATGTTAATTTATTTAGATCTCTATCTTATCGTGAGAGTTATTTTATCCTGAATTTAACATCATCACTTAATGATGCATTTCAAATTACCGTTCACTTAAGAACCAATGCTCTAACGCTGTTTTACATATCTTGTGTCATGATTTATTTTTACGATAAAAATTTGTCAATTATCTTTTATAATCTGCATTTAATAGTGATATGGAAAAATTTTAAATTCTGGCTATTCCTTTATATTTACACTAGCTGTTCCCCTGCGACTTCATTCACATAAACTTATGAAAATGTTATTTTATAGTTTACATGTGTCTAA